GAAAAATAGTTAATCAAATGGAGATGGTGCTCATTTTATATAATTAAGCAGTACAAAAGCAGACAAAGGCCAAACTAATAGTTAAGACGTTTAAATTTAAAGGAAGATTATAATCTGAACAGCTTGATTAGTTACCAAATGCATATTTATGCAAATTAGAAAAAGCTGTCTCTTTTTAATGATATTTTTGTTATTGTTTCCAGGAAAATTTGTTTTATAAACAAAGAAACCTCTCCTGTCTATGAATCGGAATGGCCCATCTGTAGTTCTATAGTGTGTAAATTGCACAACTGTATATAGCAGCCTTAAATTTAAAGAATTTTTTTAGAATTATTCTTTGATATTCAATATTATAACAACAGTAAGAAAACAATTTATTCAGTAAATACATTTTACACATGATTAAGATTGGTCTAAATTCATCAGTTGGCCTAAGATTACCATATTTCCCCATGTATAAGACGCACCCTTTTCCGAAAAATTTGGGGTCTAAAAACTGGGTGCGTCTTATACAGTGGTTGTATGAGCACAAAAACAAGCACGAAAAAAGCAGGAAATGCAAGTAAAAAAATCTACAACCACTGTATAAGACGCACCCAGTTTTTAGACCCCAAATTTTTTGAAAAAGGGTGCATCTTATACATGAGGAAATACGGTACATTCCAACATATTAGTTATTTTCAATTTTTCCAAATTCCCTTCTAGTCTCTACCAATACACACATATATTTTTAAAAATTATTGTAATGGTAGTTAGCATGCAACTTTCTATTCTCATTTTCCCATTTAAAATAATAGAAATAACATTTCCTTTCATTGCTCTTTTAATGATATATAATTTTATATCAAGTGGACCTATCATAACTTAACCATACTTCTATAATCTAAGGAACTTTAATCAATATGTTATGATTGGTACTATTCTACCCATGAGAAAAAAAGTTACATTGAAAACTTTTAGAGAAAGGAGTTATTTAGCTAGTATAAACAGGTAAAATAATATTCTCCCAAAAAATCACACCAGTGTGAGTATTTTATTGGAATATGGCTAATAAAGAGCTGAATTTGTATCTGGATTTTTTTTTTTTGTCTAAAGATTATTCTTTCCCATTTGTGTTTATACTATAATGAAAGATTTTAGGACAAAAAACTGCTGAGGTACATTTCACATAAACATAGTACAACAGGATGCACCGCCGAGAAGCAACAGGGTGTAGTAGACAATATGTGGATTTTGGAATCAAATGAACTTGGACCCCTGTGCTTTGAAATGTTATGTTCTGCAAAAAGGCTTGAACAAGAATGCTCACAACAACTTTAATTCTAAGAGCCCAAGCAAAACAGCCCAGGTGTCCATCAGTAGGAAAATGAATAAACTGTGGTATAGTCACTGATGGAATATTATTCAGAAATAAGCAGAATGAACTACAAATACACACAAAAACATGGATGAATCTCAAAATCATGCTTAGTGCAAGAAACCTTACACTAGAGAACATAGTCCATGATTCCATTATATGAAGTACTAGAACAGGCAGAGGTAACCCATGTGGAATCAAGTCAGAACATTGGTGCTTCTAGAGGTTAAGGGGGAAATTTGCTCAGAAGATGCATAAAGGAACTTTTTGGGCTGATGGTCATATTCTGTAAGTTAATAGAGATTTGGATTGTACATATGTATGAGCTTTTCTGAATTCATAGAATGGTAACTTTAGGATTTGTGCACTTCATTGTATGTAAAATGTCCCAAAGAAAAAAAAAAGAACCCAAGCAAATATTGAACTCAAGTTAATGATGCACATACTGAAGCATTTCAACTTACTTTGACATGCATCAAAAGTAATGGATCAATGGATGGATAGAGAGATTGATATATGGATATCTGGGTAAAAGAGCACCTGTAGTAAAATGTTGATTATAGAATCTAGGTTTTCCTTATGACTGAAAATTTTCATGATAAAACATTGGAAACTGTTTTTTGATCTGGGATATGTTCCATAAAGTTTTAATTTCTGCAAAATGGAGGCAATAGCATTTACTTCACTAGGTTGTGAAGTTGAGGAAAACATGTCACAAAAATAGGCCTGGCACAGAGTAGATGTTCACATGCCTTGTGATGTTGTTTGCCTTCTGTTTCATCCCCTTTTACCTGTTTTGTCAATTTATAAGTCATGATATGAATTTTTGGATTTGTTAGCACTATGAACAAGTGGTCTAAAATAGTATGTAGCAAAATGATTGGGATCATGGGGGATGAACTGTCTGTCTTCTCTCTGCTGATTATATGTTTCTTGAACAGAGGAATAGCTTTTAATGATGACAGTGGCTCAAACTCCAAGGAGAAGGGACAGCTTGTGGTGATACTTGTTTTAAAGAGATTAACAGAAAGGAGAGAGAAGACAAAGTGTTATAGGCAATCCTCCTATGGGTTTTGATATTAAAAAAAGAAAATAGTTATTTAGCTCACTAAAAGGTCCATTGTGAGTGCTCATTTACTTAACAATTGTTTATTGAGTGCCTACTATAATACATGCCCGGTATTGTGCTAGGAGCTGAGGATACACAGATGGACGAATGCACAAGACAAACATAGGTGACTGCCCACTTGGAGCTTACATTCTAGTAATGCTAAAGTTGATTGGATTTACAGGGATCAGTCTGTTAGGCAACAAATATTTACTGAGTCTTTACTCTGTGCCAGGTACTTGGAATATCATAATGAGCCAAACAGCTATAATCCACACACTTGTCGTGGAGTTTACTATCTAGCAGATTAGGTGGATTTAGTTAAATCACTGTGTGTAACTATAATAAATACATTATAAGCGTGCAAAAGACTGTGAAGGAGAAATACAATGTTCTTAAGGAAGTTTAGGCAGGAGAATGTTCTCCTCTAGCCTGGGTGAAAAAAATGTTCTCCTTAAACTTTTGTCTGAGTTAAGAGAGTAAAGTCAGCACAGAAGAGCTGGGACAGCCAGTGGCCCACGTCAGGACAGCAATGGAACCTCGAACAGTGCACCAGCAGGCAATGTGGTCAGTGGCATTGTTTGCTTAGTCTTTTTGGTTTCTTCTTGGTTTATGCCTTAGGAGTTTCTGTATGGTTCGAGTACAGAAAGCAAAGTGGGACTTGCTGAATCGCTTTTAGCTCTTCTAAAGAATTCTGGAATTGGGTTTAATTTTCGCAGAGTCAAAGGCTACAACAAACACCCCAACACTTTCATGATGCCAAGAAGCGGCTGGAGACACAGAGTCTTAAACAAAACAATTATACAACTGATTCATTGCAAGAACATGTCCCCCACTGCAGTCATTGGTTCTGAGCTGAAAGAAGATAGAGGCTGAGAGAATATGGAGAGCTGATGAGAACTATGTGTCTCACAGATAAAAACTGCTGCTCCTACAAACATGACACATCCCGGGAACAAATAAAAACTAAAGCGTCATTGGACTACATTCTTTAGTGGGGACAAGCTGACCTGTGGAATTTTGAGCTACTCACCTCTTTATCAGGAGGGGGCTGGGCTGGTGTTTGGAGAACTTCCATTTTCCAGCACTATCAGCAGACATACAATAGATGCATAATAAATACTAATTTCATTATTACAGGCTTGTTTTCATTTGCTACCTGATTCCCTGAAGGATAAGAAAGGTATAGAAATGGCTAGTGATGAGCAAAGGAAACGTACAATTAATTTAGAGCTGTGTTGTGTGATCCAGCTAAAATGGTGAAAGTGAGTTCCATGTAGTTCAGCTTCTGCCTATACAAGCACAAATTCTTTTCTCTGTCTGGAGGAATGACTAGGACTAAAAGACGTATTTCATGGCATCTTCTTAATGCAAGATGGGCTGAAAGAAAAAGAAGCCAAGAAAATCAGAGGAGGAGAAGGCTGGGAATATAGGATACAGGAGAGTTATAGCATTAGACCACCTGGCTCCACAGTCTCAGCGGTGCCACTGACCAACGGTGATGCTTTAGGCAAGTTATTCAGCCTTCAGCTCCTCTTCTGTTATATGGGTCCCTGCCTCATGAGATTTTCTCAGGAGAAAAGCTCAGGAGAGTCATTTGAGCTCATGCCCTTAGCACAATTTCTGGCACATAATGAGTGCTCCATAAATTTTAGTTTTCACTTCCAGTGGCCTTCTAAAATAATCCTAATTTCCACTCAAAATTTTTCAATAAGTATGATTTGCAAAAGGCATAACTGAAAGTAAAGTGTCATAACTCTTTAAGACCTTTTACATAAACATATTCACAAATCAGGAAAAAAAAACTCTCTTTCGCATGGCCTGCTTTTGTTTCAGATTATCTGACCACCATACGCCACACAATGAGGCATCAAGTCTGACCTCTCTGAACTGGAAATACCCTCCTCCTGCAAATCAGGCTATCACCTGTCCTGGCAGAAGATTCAGGGTTCATTTCTCTCTTAAAGACAACTATGCATGAATCAACTATATTATTTTGCTATAATCCCAGGGTATAAGAAGCCCAAAGCATCTGTTCATTCTGAGCATGTGTGTTTGGTCTCAGGCCCTCATTTGTCTGACAGGCCTTGGAGAGAGTATACAAGGCATTCACTTAGAGTAAAATCAGGTTGAAACAATAAAGATATTTTATGTTTTGTGTACACTGGTAAGTGTCACGACTCTTGGAATGACAGTCTTGTTGAAAATTTGACACACTTGTCCTTCTGGTATGTCTTGGCATAAATTGTTCCTCTCTCTGCAAGATTAACTGATACCATCTGGGCCCTCACGCTCAGCCTGGGTTTGAATCTGCATGTTTCTTTTCTCGGTTTCTTTTCAAAGGTGCAGGGACACAAGCACTACCCCGAGCCGATGGCCAAACGCAAAGTCAGTCTGAGCTCCCGTCTGTTCCCAAGCCGTTTAACCCCTTGCATCTGAAGGCAAAAACAGTCCTCCTCGGAGACATGGCCCTCCCACTGCCTGTGATAGGCTGCTTGGAATAGCAACTGCCTGTGTCACCGAAAAGGGCAAAGCCTTCTGAAATAGAAACAAAGTTGGTCACAAATCACATTGGCTTTGCTCGAAGTTTTTTTTGTGTTGTTTTTTTTTTTTTTCCACCTTCTTTAGCATGCGACCATGGAGAAAGTGATCACTGCTGTCAGGGAGGGAAGTCTGGGTGGTTTGGTGCGGAGGGAACGGCTGTAACTTCTACGTGACTATGGTACCTGTTGAAAACACAGAGGGCCCCAGTCTGCTGAACCCGAAGGGGAGACCAGCGGAGACTGATGGCAGCGACAGAGCCAGCAGCGGCAGGCATCCTCCCTGGACCAGAGGTAAAGTGAGGCAGATGGGCGTGGGTGACTGTCTAGAGCAGCAAGTTGAACTTGTGTCTCACTCGTGTGTGTGTGTGTGTGTGTGTGTGTGTGTGTGTGTGTGTGTGTGTGTGTGTGTGTGTATACATCAGCGTACTAGGTGCACAGAGAGAAGGGGAGAGGTCTGGTGGGAGGAGTGACAAGAAGCTATAATGTGAAGGCTGAAGTCCCACTCCTGTAAGCTGGGTCCCATCGATTATGATGACAAGATAATGTATTAATCTGTTTTCATTTTGGGACAATTGGTAAGATAGTCACATGTGTAAACACACACACCCACTTTTGCATTTATTGTCACACATGGACAATCTGTAACAAGCGGAAATGATAACCATAATTTTTAAATCAGTATTTATTTTAAATAAGCTTCATAAAATTATTAGTTACATAATCAATGAACACAGCTTGGTTTTCAAGTTCCCAGCATCTGTAATGAATTGGAGCTTTATTCGGAACCTAACACCTCTGCTGCCTTGCTCCTGCACTCTTTAAAACTGGCCTTTCGAACTGAGGTTTAGTGCTTTTTCTTCAGGAGGTGAAATTTGGAAAGGTTTATAATTCATTCCAGTTATCTTTGCTGGGCCAAATGCTTTTCTTCACTTCCACAATTACAATTCCAACAAATACATTGCACACTTTTAGCTGCCTGTCCCTACTCATTCAGTGTGTTCTCAGAGGAATAGAGAGGAATGGTAATATGAAATGAAATCAAACACAAATAATTCTCTTCTTCCTACTGCTTTCCTCAGCTCTGCTCCCCCTAACCATATAATTAGCATTCTTAGACCATATATTGGAATTTCATGAATAATCCAAAACACCAAATGATACAAAAGGCATTTATTTACCTTCCACCATGAAATGGATCTATATTCTTATGTTTGCACTGTGGGCTTGTCTGATCTTGGAATTGAAGCCGCGACCTCTCTCATGGAGACACAGAGTGGCACCTCCTGGGGGACTGAGCTGTCATTCTTCCCTGTCCTGTTCCTTGCTCAGCTTTCTTTTACTGTCCCCTTTCTAGAATGAATGATATCTGTGGTCACTTTCAATATAGCCTAGCCCTCTCTTAAGCAGAGCTTTCTTTAAATGTGTTCTCTGGCTCCTCAATCTAAAAGCAGGCAAGGGAAACTTGTATTGGGGGGTAAGGGGAAAAATTTAAAGAGTTCTCCTCTTTGAATTTATGCAAGATTGAGCTGAAGGACTAGTTGAGGTAGTGAAATCAACAAAAAGGTTAACTAAATAATGTCAGCGATAGTGGCACAAAGAAGGTGAAAAATTTTGTCCTGGAGGGGCCTCCACGGTAACAATTAAAAATTGACTATTAAATTTTGATATGGCTTTGAAAGCACAGTGTACTCTTAATAGGTTAAATTGCACAAGTCTACAATTATCCAGAAGGAACTTAAGATGTATGTATGTTTGTGAAGCTTGAATGCCCGCACAATTTTCTATTTAAAGTGCACTGGTTTATGTTGTTGAAAAGAAATAATAAATGAGTAAATACCACAGATTACCTTTAAAATTTAATTTTAAATGAAACCTTATTATGTAGAAGAGGAAGCCTAAATGTTTCCCTACAATCTTAAATGAATGAAGCCGATTTGTGCTATATATTGTTTATATTTAAATGAACCTTGTATTATTACTTTTGCAGATTTTCCTAAGTTGTTTTAAATATTTCTTAATTCCGAAAGGCAATCATACTTATATATGTATACAATGCCTAGGTTCACTCTATGGTTTTGACAAGTTACTTAACCGCTGCTATTGGGATTATGTTTTAGTCTGTTTTATGAAGATGTTGAGGTTTAATGAAATAATATTTGACAAATGCTCCTTTCTATTTCTTTCTATTTTTAAATTTCCACAGTTTCATGCAGGAAATTCAAAGTAGTTAAAATATGCTTTAAAATGATCACACTGTTCCTACATTTGAAGGTAGCAAAGCAAGTTTTTCTATGGTCCTAGATGGAAAAATTAAAGCCAAAGAGGAGTGAGCGATACAGCCCAGGACAAGATAATTAAATCATGTGAGATCCTGATAAATGAAACAACACAGAAGTCTTAAGCTCTGTGATTGCCCCCCTAATGCTAGTGTACACAATGAAAAGTCTTAGCAGGTCTTCCTTGGCCAACGCATCTTAAACTGGAAAGAATGCTTTGTCTCAATGACTAAAAGCTAATGAATACACATTCACCTTTTAAAAATCTTTGACTCAAAGTGGGTACAGTTTTAGTAAATTTTTTAGTGTTCGTAGACATGTTATAACTGACTTTATAGGACAGAGTTGAGCTCAGCTGGAAATCCTGATGCCTAGAACCGACAACAGATACAGGTGACACGAGAAAATGGGCTGCTGGAGCAGCTCACGCAAGGAGAACATGAGGCCAGAAGATGTGTGGCTGGCCCAAGTTTGTGCAGCGGCTGGTGCAAAGCTGACCCTGGCAGCCGCTGGCCTGGAAAGCCTAATGCCTATTCCTCCATCTCAGACATAGGGTCTCTCAAGCTCTTCCAATTTCATGATTCAAACAACTGGCTAGGGAGAAGATTTCCTTGAGCCCCCCTTGGCCCCACCAGCGTTGCTTTTTCCTCTTGGATCTGCCTAAAAGGTCAGAGACCAAGAACAATGTCCATTGTATGAACACAGGTTCTCAGCACTACAGGTCCAGATGCCGAATGCACTGGAAACCAGATCATTGAACTGGACTCACTGATCCAGCTGAAAGGGCTGCACTCCATGCTCTCTAAGACCCTTCTAAATCCCAGATGCCACAGTCTGAAATTTAATAAATGCACACTTCTGCTAATCTGATGAATACCCTAAGGCGATTGTTCTCAGATTGGTGTAAAGCTGTGAACTTTGTACAAACGGAAGCTGAGGAGGTGGTCAGTATGTGAGACAGGTCCCCATGGCCTGCTCCAGTGGAAAGAAGGGAAGTGGAGAAAGGGCCCTGCAGCCTGGCTGTTTCCTTGCTTCTCATCCCTTGTAGCCCTGAGCAGGCTTCTTGAGTGGGATCACATTAAGCGAAACTCAGGTCCATCATTACTCTGGTTAAGCAGGTCAAATTTTTTTTTTTTGGTTGGAGTATATTTACTGTGCCCCTAATTGAGTATAGGGCCCCCAGGTTTAGCTTAACCCAATTCCCTTGAATCCAGTGAGGCCCAGCTTTCTCAGGCTTCCTTGGGCAGCCTGAGGGGAAGTCTACATGTAAAAGAGGCTGGGAAGGCTTTGGGGAATAAATTTATCCCCAGGGAAGAGAAAGTCAGGCCAACCCATTTGACCTAGTAACGGAGCGTTAGTTGTAAGAGAAGCGATTCTAACAACAGGCCCGTCACTATGCTAAAACGCAGATCTGGGCCTTTGCCATTTTTTTCAAGCTTTTCATATATTAAAAAGTGAAGTGACTAAATCTGTGACATAAGTTATTGTGTTTTAAAAACATGTATTTAAAAAATTAATGGCTGCTAACAAAAATTTGTGCACATAGCTTGATAGTCCCAAGGAAGTGACAGGATTTATAGACATGTAGAATATATGAGAAACTATGGACTCTTTTGTGTGAAAATAAGACCATATTTAAAAATAACTATCTCCCCTTTCATTTTAGTCAGCTTATCTCTCCCTGGCTATATATTTAACCTCATTTGGAAATCACATCAAAAGTCTAAATTTGAGACTTTTTGTGATTGCGAGGACTGGGCAAATGGCTTCTCCAAGACCTAGGCAGGGAGAGGGCTCTAAACAAAGTTGGCGGGAGCTGTTTCACCACAAACTCGGTGGCATTCAGCTCACCCAGGTCTTAAAGGGCTCATGTTCCCCTTTAAGATCATGCCACCAAAGAGGGCAGGGGGGTTGTCACTTGCCACAGACTACCTCTTGGCTGCCACAGCAGCAGCAGACACACACCAGTCGGAGCCTGTAGTGGCAGGGCCTGGCAGATATGGACGAAGTCAGGCCAAAGAGACGCCAAGCCGTGCTGCCAATCTGGAGTGACTGAAATTAGCAGGCAGATGCCAGTGTGCCTGAACTGGTTTTACAGCCAACAACTGCTCTGATAGGTCAATGCCCCTATCCTAGTTGTTAAATATTTTAAACATTACCCTTCTCTCTGGTAAGATTGCCAGCAGAAGCTGAGACCCAGAGATCCCAGGAACATGCCTGGTGGTAGCTGATAGGACCCTAATGTAAGCCCTCGAGACATATTCTTTGTGAATTCTCAAGGGGGTAATTTTTAGTGGTCCAGATCTTATAGTAGCTGGTGAAAACAGAGCTCAAAATATAATGAATCCACTTTGGAGGCTGACTGAGGCAATTCCAATTTACAGGTACATATCAAAGGTGAATGCACTGATTTTAAAGTATAGTTTTTAATTGCTGTAGATGTGTGGAATTGTATTTTTCATTCAAGAACAGTTAGTTCTTAAATTTGCTTTTATAGGTAGCGTTTTCTCAATAGGAGGAACCCAAGTGTTATTTTAGCTTCACGGTTAGAAAGTTCTGAGAGCTCCAAACCACCCTCCATGAGAGCACAATTAGCTTGGGCTTCTAAGAGCTGAAGCAGCTATTTACTCAGATTTTATAAGCAAGAACTGGTTTTATAGGATTCTTAAATTGAGCAGAGTCAGCGCTCCCTAGTTCAATTTATTTTTTCTCATGAACAGTCTTCCCTGAGAGGATGAGCTATTAAATACGATAAGCAATGAAAGCCATGTAAAAGGACACCAAGTTATGGTGGTGAGAAGGGGAAAGTTGAAATGGGCTCATTCCCAAGGAGCTATTTGACCTGTGGAGGCAGGAAGACAAAGTTTCATCCTGCCTTTCTAACTTCTGGCTGGACTAATCAAATTAACATAAGACAGGTTAACAGGAAAAAAATATAACAACATTTATTACATAGGTACATACAGGGGTCCCATAAGAATATGAGCCTGGAGGACAGATTGGACATTTAAGGCT